ATATATTTAGCATTAGGTTGTGACTGTATAGTCTCTGTGACACAAAAACCTACTTCCCTGGTTTATAAGTGTTAAATATTTTAAAGCACTTAATTTAAGCTGAGCAGAAGGAAGGAAGACTAGTGAGTCTCAGAGTATCCGCAGAAAATATAGAGACTGAGATTGTTTTCTCAGATAGCCTGTTTTGTTTTATGAAAAATATATCTTTCCTTAAAGGAGATGCAAAAACATGCTGCATGTTGTGCGTACTAAATCTAATTGAATATTCACAGGAAAAGTGCAAAGAAACAAAGACCTCTTCTTTGGTTAAACTTAGAGACAACTAAAATGACTGGAGATGATTTTCAAAGGTGGCCAGAGCTAACAGGTTGATCCCACTGATGTCCATTTTAGCAGGCTACTTGTCTGGTTCGCACAGGTAACACACAGGCCTAATACATCTACAGTTCACTACCATGGACAGCGACACTTCAAGTGATCGTACAGCACAGTAACCACAAGCTAGCTTGTTGTGAAAATAATGCTTTAATACTCACCATGAAATACTTTCTGTGATGAACCGTCACGGAGTAATCATTACAGCGCTCCTATGGCCTCTCTCAGATTGCGCGCAGCTGCCCATGTCACCGGCTGAAGAGCGGCTCCTCGACGTTTAACGATGCATGTCCGTAAGTGTGGAAAACACATTTTCACACGGGGCAGAGGAGGCACCGAAAGTCAGGCCATGTTTGTGTGCAGTAAAGGCTGGGGCAGCTGTTGCCCTGCAGTAAATGAACTTAATGGCACAGGTGATCTTTTGCAGCAAATAACTTGGCTTTCTAACCCCGGTCTGTCCTCACAAACGCTTTTCACCTTTTTATAAACGGACTGGCTAACGCTGTGGTCGGTTTGATGTCCCAACTAGTCCGGACAGGTGTCAGCAGACGCAGCCGGTGGGAAAGAAGTTGAGTTCGCGGTATGCTAACAGTTAGCAGCTAACTATACACTTCATTCACCTCTGACCTCCGCTGTTTTACCTCGCTTTTTAAGCCCTAGTAGTTTTTCAGGTAGGTTACAGTAACTTCTGGCTCCATACTTGGTGGGGTAGAAAAACATTTTCTAATGTTTTTGCAGTCAGCGACGCTTCCGTAGTTAACGTTAGCTAATTAAGCTAAGTTAATTAATTCAGGTGCGTAATTTGTGTTCTGTTCCTGACGGCGGCGAAGTCAGTTTTAAGTTGAACAGGCACTCCGGATCAAGCAGCGTCTTCTTACTCACTTACCTCAACCCGACGTGCATGCCCTTAAATTAGTTTGCTGACTAAACATTTGTTTAAACATGTTATTTTATTATATGATGTGACATATTTTTATGGAAAATAATGGCAGTTTCATGGACGCAGGAAGTGGCGGTGCAGAGGGGGCTGCAGCACCCCATACAATTGAGCATAAAAAACGTAATTTATATATATGTTATTATATATAATAATTACTTTCTCCCTTTTTACTGGGGTTTTTATGTTTTGTGCACTAGTATTTGTGGTAGGAAAGAGGTTTGATTTTGTTTTGTATCCATTGTTTATCATTAGTGTGTCGCCTATTAGTCTAATACAACCTCGGATCTATAACACTTTGATGTGCTTTAAGGAGTTTAGAGTATCCCACTGAATCAAATTAAATGGATGGTACAGCACCTTTCTAGTCTTCTGACCACTCAAAGTGCTCTACATTACATGTCCCATTCACAGAGGCCAACATGCTCATCAGAAACAGAAACACATCTGGAGTAGTGTGCGGTTGTAGCCCAAGGACGCAAAGAGGAAAGCCGGGGATCAAACCAACAATCTTCTGATTAGTGGACATATTGTCAAACAGACCTATAGAGTCCAATCCATCCAGCAACACGAAACAAATCATTTGATCATGAAACCTATCACACTAGAGGCTATAATTCTCAGCTTTATCAGTGAAGTTTATGAACTACACTGCAGGTTTGAGTCTCTGTTTACAGCTGTTACTCTGTTAAAAGTAAAAAGTGTGTCAGCTATCTCATCAATGGGTCCATCGCTGGTTGAATGGCATCATAGATCCATGTATAAATCCTGTATGAAATGTGCTTGTCCAGGTGCAGTCTCGCTCCCTCACTCCCAGTAATTATTCCTATTAAAATATTTATGCAAAATAAATGAAATACACATTAGCAATCAAAATAAGTGTGCTACATGGATCCAATTAAGTATTTTTTTTACTAATATAGACAAGTTAGTATTAAGTTATTGAAAAAAAAAACACATCAGTATTGTGTCATTTAAGCAGTAGCTAATTTAACCCCCACTGGTTAAGCCAGAGGGCTTGGGGGTGACCTAACCGTCCTCCTGCCGCCACCCTGGGTGAGACTGAGTAAGAAGATGCTGCCTGATCCAGAGTGACTGTCAGTAGAAACCTCTGTGTAGAAAAGCTGAGTTGCAAGAGATAAATGCAAGTAGCCGACTGCAGCTCCAGTCTAAAACCCAGTGACACAGAGAAAGCAGTCATGAAGCAGTCCAAAAGAAATTTTGGGAAAGGTATTTTCCAGTGATTTAAATTTCTTCCCCACTCAGTGAACCAAGGGATTGTAGATACTATAGATGAATGCATGATTATTAGCTCATTGGAATTCAGAACCTGTATAATCAATTCTTTGTTGTTACAAGATCAGGGCAGAGTAAAGTATCTACCTCAAAATAAAGCTGAACCCCAGTAATATTTTCTAATAATGGACTTGAGACTCTATAAAATGACGTCTTTGCTGTACAGAGATGGGACAAGAAAGGAGAGGGCTTGGAGAAAAGTGAGCGAAACCATAGAAGTATATGGTAAGTTCTGAAAATATGTATGCCTATCTGATTCCCAGTTATACTATGATCCAAAGTGCTCATAAGAACACAATACAGTACTCATACTAACTCCTCTCAAAGCAAAAGACCGAACAAAAATAGATATGTTTTCTATGTCAGCAGGTGCTTTCCCCTGTCATGTTTTACAGTAATCTTCACACACACATACACACACTGCCCAGCACTGCAAGCAGCAAATGTTAAATATGCTAATTTTTTCCTCCATTGGATCAATATTGAAATTACTTAAAGAACTTGGCATTAATCCCTTCAATCACTTACTTTCCAAATCAAACTGAAATGGGATTTTGCCTATGTTCCATATATTCCTATTTCATTTATGAAATTGTGGCTTGGAGGTTTATGCACTTGCATTAGCAGTCACCTATTGCTGGATTTGTGGATGATTGTAAAAGTGTATGACTTTGAGTTATAATCCTTGTTGGGCTAGTAAAGTGTTTGGGCAGCAAATAAGTCCATCACCAAAATGCATATGTAAACAAATGCACATTTAAAATGGACCACCACATTTTTAGCTAAATTAGTGTTAGTGTTAGAGTGTAAATTAGTGTTATTGTTAGAATGTTTATTTGACTGACTTCATTGTCATATAATACTTGATTTTCCCTATTAATAAAGCATCTCTAATCTCACCTCATCTGATCTCATCTGATCTCATCTCTTCACTTCTTGTCCTCTCACTTAATCTTCACTTATCACACATCACATCATCATCTCTCATCTCTCATTTGACTTCCTCCCATCCCCTCATCACCTCTCATTACCTCTAACTGTCTGATCTGTCTTCATCACCTTTATTTATTTCACTCTACCATAACCTGAGAAGATGATGCTGTCACTGGGAGTAGTGTTTACCACTGCTCTCCTCTTTCCAGCTATGTGGAAAACTTATGAACATGGCAACAACAGGAGGCAACTAATGGCTCACGCTGAATGCTAAAACTTTATTTGGCAAAGTGAGATCTCTCTGTGCATTATGTAACTGACCTGGTAAGTGCTGTGATGAAGCTGCAGGATCAATTTCAATGAAGTCATTAATACTTGCTTTCTTTTACCCCTTCAGCTGAGTGCACTGCACTTCTCCAAGAGATTTAACGGATAAGAGATCTCTGGCCCCGACTTCAGCGGGGAGAAGTGTACTTATATGCTAAATCACTTTTAGACAGCGATCTGGATGATGTTCAGAAGCAGGTCTGGAGTACTTCAAGAGTGGTGAGATGAAAAGCTCATAACCGCTGCCACTGAAACAGAATGTGCTTATGGGCATGCCCACTGTATTTTCAAGCTGATTTCTATCGACAACAGAACAGCCTGTCTGAAATGACATGAAATAGCCTACTGTAGGACTAGGGAACTGGACTGCTACCAAGAGACAAGGCGTGGGTCTTTTTTTTTCTCTCAAAACGTTACTTCAGGGCTGTATGTCTTTTTTTTGTGAATGTAGCCTTCACAACTAGTGGCTGCCATATCCCTTTGATAATGTTTCTCCTACGTGGCACGCTGACTCAGCATGTTATTGTCGGTGGGAATATACTTCCCATCAGTCTCCAACACTGCTAGTGGCATGCCCGATAACCATTTGCCAACTGGCCACTTTTCATGAAAAGGAAAGCCATGTACCCTTGAGCATGCATGGGCCTTTTGCAGCCTCTGTCTACAGGGCAAGGACGCTGTGACAGATGGACTGTCCCTATAGTGGAAGCAAAGCGTGTGAGCAGGCAAGAGGAGGCAGTTAATGACATCAGAGCATGTAGTCTGTGTAGAAATCCTATCTTTAATTGTAATAACCTTATACACAGTCTGGATGTGTAGGGTATGGGGTGACCTGATGCCAAACCAAGCAGTTTGTGATGTGAGCTTGTTGCTGGTGATGATCACATAGGCCTACACTGGCATTTGCTGTAGTCATCTGGCCCATACAAGCCACAGGACAGAGTAAAGAAAGCAGTGGACTGGCAAATCGATGAGTGCATCACATGATACCAATGGTGAACACATCGCAGTACCATCATCATCCTTTATTTAATTTTTAGAGCAATGGATTTAATTTTTTTTTGCAATAACCTTACTCGGTAGTAGCAGATAATCTACGAGATGCGTATTTTGCCACATGATCTTTACTCACAGAATCACTTGCGTTTTTACGCAGCTGCTCCTCCTCTCCCCCCACCGCGGCCGGGTCCACCACCAGTTTCTCGAAGCACGCCGAGCCGAGAGAGGAGCTCTTCTGCTGATACGTGATCAGCTTGGATACGGGGAGTTTGGGGCTTCCGTGCGCCGCCAGCTCGGGTTTGCTCCCCGTGGCTCCAGAAGCTGCGCCAAGGGGGTGTAGCAGAGGCTGTCCGTCGCTGCTGGTACCCGGGACCGCGTCGCTTCCAAGGGACTTCTTATCTCCTTCAAAAGGCGCCGGCGGAGAGCAGCACAGATTCGGCTGAGACGACGAAAACACCCGGTCCATTTGTTTCTTTTTCCTCTTAAACATCCATAACCCCGATTCCTTTTTGCTGCCCTCCGCGCCCCCGGCACCCCGACGCTCCGATCCCAGTTTAGGACTGAGCCAAGGCTTGGTTTTCTCCTGGAAATTCTTCCACATCCTCCGCTGGTAGGACAGAGACTCTTGTCCCTTGGCGGTGCCCTCATCTTTAGGTGATTTTTGCTCCATGGTGCCTGTGCAGCAGCCAGCCAGCCTGAGCACACACCGAATTGTGGAAAGATGTCACAGTTGGGCTACTGCAGCTCGGGAGCACTTCCACTGATGATCAGTTCAGAGCGCCAGGACGGAGACGCACAGTGTGATGATGGAGGGGGTGTTGTAGAATGCCTATGCAAGCAGCACTGTAAATATTATGCCCCACACTATGCCACACGCTTGTCAGACGGCAAGCAGTACTATCTATTGAAGATTTATCTCTTCTTAGTCGTGAAGTTGGAGCACATGCAGTGACGTCTGCAAGATTACTGCTTGGTAAATGCTCTGCTTGGTCGTTGATCGTCTTTGCGTCCCTGCTTTTTCAACTGTGCTTTACCAGGGTTTAGTCAACTTCCCCATTAATTGTTATATTCAAATGAAGGACGAAGGCTGCACCGCGCCTCCCTCTGGCCAGCCATGTCACTTGACTGGATAATCTGCATGCTGGTGATTGCATAACGCAACCCACAATGCCTCGTGGATATGTTTATAATTCAACTGTAGATCCCCTATCACCCCTATCTGAATTTATCTTTTTGTAGTTTGATAGGTCTATGTGTTGTTTATGCATGGTCATTAACAGCCTCTAGATTCACTCCTTCAAAGCATTGACCTTGGTAAATCTAGAGCTGACAGCACTTCTGAAACCTTTGAGGTTTTAAGGACTTGTCCTCTTCTGTGACATGTGGATGTCCCCGCACTGTCACCATGTCTGGATATGTTCTCTCTGTCAAATAGGTCACGCTTCAGTGAACGTTATCACCGGCATGCAGCAGCGAGTAGGCAGCTCTGAACAGCCTCAGAAGCTGTGCTGTGTGTATAATACGCTCATTACGTCTTCCCCTCTGGCCCTTGTTTCAGTGCTGGCCTGTTCCGTCCCCCTGGTTAACACGGTGCCCACTTTCACATAAACAAACACACAGAGACACTAATTACACAAATGAATACCTCTCTCCATCTAACGCTCTGTAGCGCACATGTACACACAGACGTAAGAGGTCACAGAATGACCTTTTATCTGCAAACAGGGCAGATGAAATTTTACTTTGAGCAAGGAAAATACAAATGGGACTGTTATAACTGGATGAGCACAAGTCTTTAAAAGATGCTTTCATGGACATTTATTCATGTAAGACAGTCATACGACCATGTCGTTGCTTGCAGGAGTAATGGTGAAGGTGATGTAGCTGATAAAGCCTTCTGTTGCAAGCTCTTGGTCTTGACCCTCTAATAGTGAGAAAATGATTAAAAATGGTATGTGGGTAATTAGAGCAACATTGACTTTATAAAAGAGGGCTTCATATAACTTCTTTAACCTTTATGACATATGACATATAGACATGAGTAATCTGGATGTATGTCAAACATTGAATGAGAAGTCAATAATGAGCTTTGTTGAAGCTTGGGATCACTTTGGTTGATATCTCATCCATACTACAAAATAAAATGCTTTATTTAAAATCAGGAGAGCACTGGCAGCAACACAGTCAACTGCACTGAACCCCTCTTTCATTTAAGTAGATGGAGATGAGCATATGAGCCAACAGTTCCTTTCAACTACCATTGGGCTAACAGGGATAACTGATGAGTCTGCAGGGAGCAGGCCTTTACTGTTAATGATTCTGGTACTGTTGATATGACACTAGTCCACAGTGTGTGTGTGTGTGTGTGTGTGCACGCATGCTCCTGTAGAATCATGTTCTTCCACTGGGTGCAATTAGATATAATTCAGTGGCACTACTGAATGGACTGCGTTCACGCTGTATGACAATGTAAAAGGAAGTTTTTCCTTGCCTCTGTCACCTAGTGCTTGCTCTTGGTGGGAATTGTTGGGCTTCTGTAAATAACATCATAGAGTATGGTCTAGACCTGCTCTTTTATGAAAAGCGCTGTGAGATAACTGTTGTTGTGATTTGGCGCTATATAAATAAAATTGAAGTGAATTGGATAAGTTCGTGGTTAAGTGAAACATGATAAGGCCATTTTCACTCTAGGTGTTGAATCATGCCTGTCATAATGCATTAAGTCAGGTAGCTAGTTATATTGTGTGCAGTGAAACAGCAGACGGATGGCAGATCTGATGCCTTTAATGATGTGGCAGTAATATTTTCTTACTACCTGTTCCAAGTTCAAATTAACCCCAATGAAAGGCTACATTGAAGTAATCCTTCAAATGATCCGAATGAGTCTGAGATTTAGTTTATCTATGTAAAAATATATGGCTGCTGTGTGGCAAAATATTTTGGGTTGTTATAATGTGTTTATGATTTGAATGTGGATTAAAACTATTTGTTGGAATTTTAATCAAACGCTAATACACTCCTTAAGTAATAACTTCCACATGTAATCTGTAATTAGCAACCCTGAATCGCATTAGAAGGACCAACCCAAGAGGACTTGATTACTGTACTTCACAGATAAATGCAATTAATTAATGAAAACTTTAAACCATTGATGATTAGGGTATTTATTTATATCACGATTAAGCTCACTCTAGTGAAAGAGGGTGCCAAGTACAAAAATTTATATAAATTAGAGAAAAGCGATACTCATGAAGTGAAGAACTGTTTTAATTTCAGTATCTACAAAGTAATCAACCATCCAGGTCATAGAATATGTAGAGGAACTAACTCAAAGGCAGCTGGACTCTTTAATTGCCTGCAGTTGCCTTTTGCATTGAGGTTTGGGTTTTTTTCGTGAGTTGTTTTGAGAATTTGCTACTTTCCTAAGTAATAGTATGTTCACACTCACACAAGGTTTAGATGAGTTAAGCTGCTTCACCAAGTCTACAATGCATCATTCTCGCATTACTGTGTTGACAAATACACACTGGCAGGCAGGCACACCCCTCTCAAGGAGACCACAGTTACCAAGTGACAACACAAAACACATGAACTCAAGAGCCAGCTGAAGAAAAGCACAGGCCTGTGAGTATTCTGAAATTTAAAAAAGCTAAAAATGACTGTTGTTTTAAAAAAAGGGAACAGTTATGCCATCATATGAGTCTGGTTATGCCAGGACTATAAAATGTTTGTTCTGTTTACTTTAACAATAAGCAATGATAATATATTTAACAGAGCAGTAATGTTACCAGCACAGATTAGAAATGTATTTGAATTAAAACTACTGTATATCACACCAAAATATGTAACATGTTTTTCTTTTTAGACAAGAAGAATGTCACACAAGTCAAAGTTACAGCCCTATCAGAATCGCACCAGGTAACATATTTTGTTGAATGACTGTATTTTATATTTCCATTCATTTTAACCATTTTACGGTACCTTCATATTTTTCATCTTCCTTAGTTCGTGTGTGTCACTAATTCATTTCTAAAATCAATCTGATGGAAATACAGATGGGAACCACCAGTGACCTTTCTAACAGCACTATGAATCACATTGATCAAAGTAATCCTTAATCCATAGTAGCATCAGGCAGGGTGAGACCGCATGCACAGACATGAAGTCTATGAGAGATCTGGTTTGAGGACGACCTTAGAGTAAGACCAATTCAAATCAGTGCACCTTCATTATTCTTCTGGGACTTTTACTGTAAATGTTTTTTTTCTTTTAATTCCTGAAGGTATTCCTGAGATCTCTTGACTTTTCATGATTTGCAATAAATATAATATAAATAAAATAAACAACTTCTAAAAGGTTGTGAGTCAGAGCTTGTCCTTCTGTGTCTGTTTACTTCCTGATTAAGACCCGATGTCTTGGAGGGTCGTCTGAGCGGTCAGGAGAGGACACTGGCTGTGCTGCTGGAGCAGGCTTTTAGGATTAAAGAGGAGGTGGCAGCAGGTCTGCAGTCCACCCAGGGCTCCGTCCAGGTCGAGGCACTTTCCCGCAAGCTTCTGGAGAATCACATACTGACCATCACACGCATTGTCAAGCAGCTTAGCAAGGACATCCAGGTATAAATGGGTAGATGGTGGAGGTTAGTGGGCTAGGCTTTTGTTATATGCAGATTCCATTAATACACTTATTTGATGTACTATAGCCATGCATCCTGTAGCCTTGTTTTTATTCTCAGAACTATCTTTAATGTCTTATTATCTGGATAAAGTCATCATCTTGATTCTTCTCATTCTTTTATCTGCCATCCACTTTTCTCCTCATCTGTTTTGATGTGCAGCACACGCCGCACCCTCACAAACAAACTCACAGCTGATTTGATTACACCTGATAGAATGGTGCAGCGTCTGAGCAAAGCCTGCCTGCCTCCTCACCATCATCAGCGTGCGGATATTTTGTCTGTATAAGCAAAAAATTCATAATGTACACAGTATGTGGTTAAATAAATACTGCCGGGTTATGCACCAACCTCAGAAAAACAGCAGTCAGAAGAATTAGTGGGAAGTGCTCTTAAATTTGACTCATAAAACAAATATTTTATGAGTCATCTTTGGAGTGTTTGGAGTGATCTTTGGCTGAGCAGAACATCTCAAGCCACACTGAAATACAAAAATGAAATACGTAAGTTAATCAGTGCATACCAAATGGTCCATTAACATGATTAGAGGGTGTCGTTATCTGAGATATTACATGAATGCCTAAGAGCTAATTAATTCTGCATATGAAGAAGTAATAAGCTAAGTCGTGATGTGAATATGCTGCTAAATAAAATTAAAGGAACATCACACAATCTCTATTTGCTTTCAAGATAAGACAGAGGGTCTTCTCCTTGATGTTGGGTTATCAGAGATGTTGGTCAGTATTAAGTTGTCAACGAAGGACACGTGGTAGTTTTACCCACAATTGTTATTTTGACAGCATTAAAGTGACTGAAAGGGAATTAACACACTAATATCTATTATCATCCTTTGTTTCCTGCCATATTTCCACATGTGTATTTTGTTTCACATGTACATGAAAATTACTTGTGCCATTTGTTCTGAGCAGGCCCTGGAGCAACAGCTCGCCCAGCGGGACTCCATCACATCTGGAACCACAATGGCTGTTCAAAGCTTGGATCAGAAGAGCATGGCTAGTATTGGAGACTTGAGAGGAAGAGTAGCCAGGTATGCACACCAGGCCTGGGTCAAATAATGTATAAAAACAACCAAAGTAAAAACTGTACAGAGGACTGACTGTCAAGTGCTAGCAGATAAAAACTTTCCTCCACAGCATTATTGGACTTGTACAAGTATTAAGACTCAGGTCTGATGCACAAGTTATTTGACTGATTAACATTACTTGCTGATATCCTACTTGTTTTTCTCTCCCGCTAATAAAGTGCAATTGCATAATCTGCATTCTGTCTGGCAGCTCTTCACAGGGTCACAACTTCCAATCCGCCATGGCTTCACCTCTCAGACTCTCGCAGAGACGCACACATTCATTATTTTG